TTATAGAATCTTCTTACTTTACTCTCTAATAGTTATACTTATAATTAAGCTATATTTTAAGCTTAGAATAGTACGTAATAAAGTAGTTTAGCTAGTACTAGCTAACTACCTTTCTACTCTACTTAGTAAGCAGCTTATTAGCTATATCTTAAATAGTAGTAAGCTAAGAGGCAAATTCTTACGCGTCTAGGTCTAGTATATACTTAACTATTACCTACTCTTTATTTATAGTAAGCTTTATTTAATTAGGTATCTTTTTATGTTATAAAGTAACTCTATTATATTAACTATAAACTTTCTTCTATAGTACGTTATAGAGAGCTATAGTACGCTATAAGCTTAGCTCTAGATTCTATTAAATAGCCTAGAGCGCAAGCTATATTTAGAATTTGTCTAAAGTTAATTAGGCGTTTATAGAGGGCGTTATAATAGAGATAATAGTATTTAGTAAAGACTTAGTATTTTTAAGTTATTTAATAGAGTAACTAGTTTAATAGTAAAGTACGTTATATAAATCTTTATAGAAAAATATTATATTTTTGTATAACGTACTTTACTATCGAACCGCCTACACTATCGAACCGCCCACGATTTCTTAGCAAGGAAAATTAACGAAAATTAACAGGTTTTTCTTAAATAACTAAGCGAAACCTTAATATTTTTCTATAAAATTATATATATATATATTTTATAGTATATTACACCTAATATTAAAGTTACACTAAGATATATTACGTAATTAAAAAGCTATACGTATTTAACTAACTTTTAAGAAAAATCTACTTTACTTCTAGTTAGTACTATTATATCTTTATAATAATATATAAAACTTATAGAATATAATATCTATAACGTAGTAAAGATTTCTAGAAAACTTTTATAGAGCTAGCTCTTCTAGGTATAGCGTAATAAGAGATAGAAGTTAGAAAAATTTCTTCTTAGAGCTTTCTTCTTCTAACTATATATATATATAGTTAATCTAGCTATATAAACTTATTATTTTATATATTATAGTTAGTTTTAACTATATAGAGCTTATTAACTAATAATATAGTAGCTTTAAGTAGTTATTTAAAAGTAAAGTCTTTTTAGTAGTATAGTATAGAAAGATAGAAAGATACTAAAACTATTTTAAAATTATTACTTCTAAATATATAGAAGGCTTATAGTATATATAATCTTATAATATATAACTTTATATAGCTAGATTATTAATATATATATATAGTTAGAGAAGAAAACTCTAGAAAGGCTTTTTATAAACTTCTATCTCTTATTACGCTATACCTAGAAGAGCTAGCTCTATAAAAGCTTTCTAGAAACCTTTATTACGTTATAGATATTATATTCTATAAGTTTTATATATTATTATAGAGATATAATAGTACTAACTAGAAGTAAAGTAGATTTTTCTTAAAAGTTAGTTAAATACGTATAGCTTTTTAATTACGTAATATATCTTAGTGTAACTTTAATATTAGGTGTAATATACTATAAAATATATATATATATAATTTTATAGAAAAGTATTAAGGTTTCGCTTAGTTATTTAAGAAAAACCTGTTAATTTTCGTTGATTTTCCTTGCCAAGAAATCGTAATAGTGTGGGCGGTTCGATAGTAAAGTACGTTAGTTATTTAAGAAATACTAAGAAATACTAAGAAATACTAATTAATTTTTCTTACTAAGAAATTATAGAGAATTTAGTAATATAGAGAGTTTAATAATAAAGTACGTTATAGAGAGAGCTACTAACCTTTATAGCCTAATTAACGACTATACCTATATTAATATTAAAGAAAGTAGAGTTAAGTTAGCCTCTTAACGTTAGAGTACGTAGTCGCAGCGCGCTAAGCCTAGGTTATATATTCAAGAAGGCGAATTACTAGCAAAGAACTAGGCAACGATAAATAAATAATTATATTAAGCTTTTAGGACTATTTTAAGAAGCCACGACGCTGCTCGAAGATAGAGGCAACGCTAGTCGGCATAGAGCTATCTAGGAGGTTGATACCTGCCTCCTCCGCTAACTGTAAGAGGATGTTTAGCGAGCTCGGAGATCTCCTTAGCACCCGGAGAGTACGCATAAAGCCTGAGCTAATTGCCGCCCTGCAGTTACTAAAAAGCTGGAAGAAAATAGGTATTAAACGTTTAGCCACCACTACAACGACTACTCCAGAGCTCTCTCTCGAAGATGTAGGCAAAATCGCTACTTAATTAGAGCAGTTTAAGTATACTCAAGCCAATCAATCAATCAATTAGTCCGAAAGCCGCCTGCTTTGTCAATCAGTCAATCAGTCTCGAATTCACGCCGAGAGGCTTGGCAGTCAATCAAACAGTCTAAGGGCCTCCTGTTAAGCCAACCAGTCAGTCCGAGAGCCTCCGGACTGATTGATTGATTGATTGATTGATTGATTGATTGATTGATTGTTAACAAGTCTGGTCTCTACGCCTATAGAGCTCATGACGCAAGACGGAAGAGTCAACACTCCGTTCAATGTCCTCCCTCCTCCCGTGTCATGTTATGATGGGAAAATAGAAAAGGAATTAAAGACAACGAAAAGAATAAACCACGCTACGGTTTCGAACTAAGTAGCTGCACGACGGCCACGTGCTGTTTCGCGTTGGCAAGTTGGAGCGGCGTCTGGTCGTTGCTGTCTTTCGCCTCCTTGTCAGCGCCGTGCTCGATAAGCGCCCTAACAATAACCCAAAGCCCCGTCTTGGCGGCCAGGTGTAGCGGCGTCTGATAGTCTTCGTCCTTCGCCTCCTTGTCGGCACCTATATTAATAAGCACCCTGACGACCTCCTCGCATAAGGACAAGGACTTGGCAGCCAGGTGTAGCGGCGTCTGACCGGAGGAAGATTTTGCCTCCTTGTCGGCCCCCATGTCAGCGAGCATCTTAACGATAGCCTCGTGCCCCCTTATGGCAGCATGATGTAGCGGTGTCCAACCAGAGCAAGATTTCGCCTCTTTGTCGGCCCCCATGTCAACGAGCAGCTTAACTATTGCCTTGTGCCCTCCTCCGGCAGCATAGTGTAGTGATGTCTGACCAGAGGAATTTCCTGCCGTTATATCGGCCCCCATATCGAGTAGTAGCTTCACGACGACCTCGTACCCTTTCTCGGAGGCCATATGTAGCGGCCTCCGATCGCCGCTAGCCTGCGCCTCCTTATTAATTCCCATGTCGAGTAGTAGCTTCACGACGACCTCGTGCCCTTCCCAGGTGGCCGTAAGTAGTGGTGTAAAATCGGCGAAAGCCCTCGCCTCCCTGTCGGACCCCATGTCAACGAGCGCTTTGACGACGTCCTCGTGCCCTCCTTTGGCAGCCAGGTGTAGTGGCGTCTGACCGGAGGAAGATTTTGCCTCCTTTT